CCCCCCCCCCTCTCCTTGAATAAACACGGAAAGAACGATTTTACTGAAATATCTAAAAATTTAACTAGATATAAATTTGAAAATATACTTTTTTATTATTTCGAAATAATTATATATATAGGATTCAAGCTGACTGTTGGATCAGCAACACTTTTTACAGTTTGCGTATATAATGCTTTTAAGTTGCGTTCTACGTATCTAGTAAACGTCAACTAATCTTAATATAACACTAATTTCATACTCTACTCGATATAACTGTTATGTATTATACATTTACATCGTTCAGTATGAAATTATACCTTGATATTATGTTATTTCAATGAACATTTACTGAGTAATTATTTTGAAATAACAATTACTTTCAGGTCTGTATCTAAATTTTGGACACACTTCAGCAAAACCGTTTATTCCATGAAGAAAAGCGAAAACAATGACGTTTTGTCACGTGAAATACTGAACGTGGATTTGGCGAGCGGGGTAGAGCATATGACGAATTTTATAGTAGGATCCTGAGAGATCCAAGTTCCGGGAAGATGCCGCAAAGTGAGTGCTTCGACCTGTTGTTACGAGTTTACTCATACACTAGCGCACAAAGAAAGCAGTTGCGTGCGTATCATATTACTATGTCTTGCCATACTGTACATTACTACATCGTGCAGTATAGAGACGACGCCAGTATACGATGAGGGGAGTAGAATGGACGAGGATAAGACACGAGCGAGAGAAAGAGAGTAACGCAACGTGCGCAGTTTTGCCTCTTTTGCCAGTTCTGCTTTTTTCTCTTCCTCTCTTTCTCCCTCTTCTTCACTTCTCTCCTGCTCTTCGTTGGTCCAGGGACGTACGATGTGCAACGATCGCTGCCTCTGCTGCCTTGTATTACGATCTCTCTATCTATCATTATATCGTAATAATTTCGTTATATTCATTAAATGCAACGATTAAGATAAAATATCTATTATGTTTCAAATCTTATTATCAAGTAAAATGTATGAATAGTGTAAATTGTGTTCTATTAAAATGATCATTTGATATGAACTTTGCGCAAATTGTTTTGATCTTTATGTGAAGCAAAGAACCTTCTCTGTAATTATTGATGGCAACAACTGCCAGAGGGCATAAAAAATAAAAGATGAAAGAATCAAATATGGAGAACATTCTACAGATGCGATCCATCGTGTTACAGAAGCTACCACAGCGGCAGCAGTAATAAGCGGAAGCGCAAATGACGGATGCAAGCTGTGATTAATACGTGTTCGCCTTTCTAGAGGGAAGAAGAGTCATCAATTAGATTCTCTCTCTCTCTCTTTCTCGATAGGCTGTTATTTTTATTTTACGGAAAACTCACTTTTAACTGCTTATGTGATTTATTATCACTTGCATTTCGTTGAGATAATGTAAGAATTTTTATATTAACGGTCCGAAATTGATATTGAATTTATTGGACAGTGGACGTTCACTCAATTATATAAATCTCTTTGTCAAAAAATGTCAAACAATTTAATGTCCTTTGTTACATTTGCAAATTCGAAAATATTTAATATTCATTCATAGAATTAATTAGTGCTTTCTTTTTTATTAACATAAATTATAAATTTTACAGACCCAATGCATTTAGCAATCGTGTTATAGTTTCTAGGCGTCAGCTTTGGAGGATTAATTTTTTACATTACTACAATAAAAAATACTGTTTGTTCGAACGGGATATGTTTCGATGCTCGTGTAAGACTCGTCGAAATATAAACACGTCGATCCTCAGCCGCACGGATTTAACCCAGATTCAAGTTCTGTGAAATCAATTACGCGGCTGTTTTTTTACTTCCGATTGGGACATCTTTGTTGCAAAACGCGTTCTCCTCTTTTTCGCGAAAGACGCGTTTGAACATGTTCGCTGCAGCAGCAGCATAAAGATTCATCAAGGATTCCCCGAAGCTACTCAATGACGAACGTTGCACAGGAAGTCTTTGTACCGAACGTAAACCGCAAACAGAGAGCACAACATGAAAAGCGACATCATAAGATATCATAAACAAATATCAATATTTGTGAATCACGTCTATCAATATCATAAATTTTAGAATGTATGAATATTGTCTCTTATAGAGATAATATTAAGTATTTTCTATGACACATAAATAAATAAAAAACACCAATATGCGGTCAAAGCTACATCGTGATGCTTAATAATATTTAAACACGGAAAGCAAACGGTTTTGCTGAAGTATCGAAAAATTTAATTAAATAGATTTAAAAATACTTGTTGAATAATCCATAATAATAATGTCGAACATTAAAATGTTTGATGAAAATGCTGCAAAAATGTTTAATATTCTAATAACCAGTTTGAACCCTCCATAATTATTTTAATGACTCTAACAAAATTATTTTTCTAGGTCTAGTTAACTTTTTACGCATTTCAACGCAATTTTATTTTTGATATATACGGAAATTTTAAATACACATCTTTTAAAGTTAGAATTTAGACACAAATAAGCTACACGCCAATCGGATGTGTATAAAACGTAATTACACTGAAATTGAAACAATACATTATCACAAGTTAATGTGTTTAACAAAATCTGTTTTTGGAAAAATATTGAACTAAGTGTCGAAAGATTTCTCCAAATATTATTATTTTCAGTTCCATTTGACTGTACGATCGACTTTTGCGTGCAAATCTTCCGTCAATTTCCGCAAAGCTTTGTCGAAACGCGGACGGTGGTACGACGAGGTACAACAGCCTCCAACTTACATCCCTGCCTTACATCTCCTCCTTCCATCCATCCTTGCCTCTTCTTCGTGCACTCCTCATTCCCTTCTGCATTGCCCCGAAGGGCCGATCTCTTCGTCTTTTTCCCCTTCGGGCCCCTCTCATTCGGTTTGCTCGCTTTGTACCGCGTCACGACTACTTTTGTTGCTCCTCACGCTGCTCCTCCTTTTTCTCTTGCTGCGTCCTCCTCCTCCTCTTTCTCTTCCTTCCCTCCGTCCATCGCTTCTCTCTTTGTCCCTCCGGCTATGCTCGATTCCTCTTTGCTCCGAGATTAGTTCCTTCTTTTTCTCCCTTCTCTCCTTCTTGCCTGCCCTTCGCTTCTCTCGTTCCGAGCTGGTCCAGTTGCTTCTTTTGTTTTGGTCGAGTGAACGAGACCAACGGTGAGTGTACGCGAGAGAGAAAGAGGGACGCGCAGAGAGAATAAGAGAGAGAAATTACGAGCGGAGAGAGACACGGTGGACCAACAAAGAGGGAGAGAGAGAGAGAGAGAGAGAAGCACACTTGAGCGAAGCGTGTCTCGACACGCGAGATGCAGGATCGAATTCGACCGTCAGATCCGGATCCACGAAACTCGCGATCTCTTGGATCATTCCCTTCTTGAAGTCTTCTCCCGCCCCGTTCTTGCCACCCTCCGTTGTTGACGCCCTTTTCTTACCTCCCCCCCCCCCTCTTTCTCTCTCTCTCTTTATACTGATTTAACGTCAACAGAAAAAAATGCTACTGCGTGTCTCGTAAAATTCGCTTCGCCGTAAGACGCTCTGGATGCGCTAATTATATTGGAGGTGTCTGTGATAATTATTATATGCCATATATACGAAAGGAAGAAACGAGGTCTGCATAACTTAACAGGCGATAATATTACTAGTTATGTTGAAACGTAATTCGCGACAACTTTTATATTTTATAGTAGAATTTTGGCTCGTTGAGCACGCACAAGGTTATTATTTCTAATCCATTTTGAAATAAGGTAATTGAACTTTATATGGTTCATCTGAGCGTTTCTTTGTTAAGAACTATTAGTTGTTTTGTGTTTTCAATAGGAAACATTTCTGAATTAATTGATAATATGAGACATTTTCAATAACAAGGAGGTGAAAATCTCGGATTTAACAAACAAGTACATTAAGGAAAATATCTAGGTGGATTAATTGGAGTTTTAGTTAAAAATGGTGCTACGGTTGCAAATGATTGAAATGGTCGAATTAGAATTTTCTGGATTAGAAATTAGTCCTAAGGCCAGCTCAGCGAGGACAGAAGCCTCGAATGGAGCAAAAGGGCAAAGGCTTGATCTCGATGTTCAGTATAGAGAACTGCGAAAACCTTCCTGACAATTCTGTTCCACAACTAATATTTTATAGAATAATAAAATTAAGTCTGCTAGAATTTTAATCGAGATAACCGGAATTCTGATTCGTTCATTATCAATCAGGTATTTTTTTCACAGTCAGTGCAGTTATTTTAGTATATTCCTATTTGCGTGGAGAAGATTCAAGTCCATTTCTTCTCTCGAAAGCAAATTGTATTCAATAGAGTATTACTCGTATCCGTGTCCCACGAGATTCGAGGGTGAGTGATCTCCCTAAACATACCCTGCTGAGGATCTCTCGTGAGGTACGAAGAGTATAGCAGCGCGCAGTGGAACGAGATTCGATGAAGCTGTAAGAGAGACTCGTAGAAACGCGAAGGCGGGACAAAAAGGGAGGACGAGTATCGGCGATCTCCTTGGTGGACGGCCACTTATCGAGTACCCCGCGAACGCGTCGGCTTTCGCATAGAGCAGCACAATGTGCGGGGCATACACTCGCTATTGTGCGAAGATCATTAATGTCATCGGTATCCGACGCATAATACTGAAGCTAAGAGAAAAAGGAAGAGGCTCGGTAACGAAGGCGTAATGAACGGTAGACTCGTCGAATGGAAACCTCGACGCGTTCGCTGATTGCGAATAAAGGAGGAACGATCTCCGCAGCGACGCCGGAGCACGCTTGGACACGCGCGCGCGCACGCTCTTTCCGCCCGGGCACGCGTAGGGAACGAGCAAGACGTGAGAATAGATTGTCTATATACTGAAAAAAAAAAGTCTGCTAATGATAATTACGCCTAGATAATAGTTACTAAAACTTTGGTAAAATATAGTTTCAAATGCCTGATAATACAATCAAAATTAACTAACGTTATAATTTTCTTTTTAATTATTACCAAACATTATTACATTTAGTAATTGATTTATCTTTATTTCTCCGAACTGGTGCGCATAATGTAATAAACTGAAGTAAAACAAACGTATGTTCGTTTCATTTCATTTCAGAGGGTGCAAAAATACTTGATTCCGCTGTGAGAACGTCGATTTCATTCGTTTCCTGATTTACAGTCCAGACTTGCTCGATTTCCATGCATGCTCATTTTTACACAATGATATAGCAAAGATCTCAAGTATTACTATGCTCTGTCCTGCGGGAATAGTAAAAGCGAGCTTGCGGACACGTGGTAATTTACAGCTGGTGTGTACGAGTCGCGAGTAGTCTGTAAACAGCAGGTTTCTTTGTCCCACTCTCCTCTCTCGACACACAGGTACTTCTCCACGCTGCCTCTGCTCTTACGCCTTTCTTCAATTTTTACACAGTCACCGCTTCTCTCTTTTCTGTCCTCGCTATACTTCATCTTCTCTCATATCTCTTTTTGTCGTAAAGCTCTATGCAACGATATTAGTTCCACGTAACGAAAAATAATTTCTGTGCAAAGATATAAAAATAAAAGAATATTGTGATAAAATTAATTCTTTCTAAATCTTATTAGATACATGAGTTTGTTTTAGAAAATAATTGAAACGTTAGACGTTAGTTTAAGTGGTCACTATATCAAAACAATGATTTTTAAAATTCAAACAAACGTTTTGATCTAAATTATAGACCACCTTCAGTGTTGTTTGTACAATAAAGTTTTTTCTAAATTTAGTGATATATTGAAATTAACGCATTATACATAATTAATTTTCGCAGTTTGTACAAATACAAATTATTAATATATTAGGAAATTAAAATTTATTCGCTACTAAAATCTTGCGTTGGTAATAATGCCCTTTTAAAAATTGTTTTTTTTTTTTTTTTTTTAGAAAACACTATTTTTGAAATTATTCTCGGAGCCATCAGAATCCATATATTCCACTTATGAATTAAAGATGCTTACTAATATCTGTATTATTAAATTGTTTGTCAATTTGTGATTTAATTTGTAATATAACGAGCTTCAATTTAAAACTGTATATTTTAAAGCTGATAAATAATCGGCGTACAATTTGTTCGAATTGGAAATACGATCTTGTTCGTTTATTTATACTTTTTTAATAAAATTTTGACATTTCTCTCGTGAAGATAACAACCGCATTTCTTCGTCCACGCTGTTGACTTTCTCGCGCGTCTGTACCGAGGAAAAGTGGACCGCGTAGTTCAGAAGTCATCACACGCGGTCATCGTCTCGGCACACACTCGTGTGTCGTGTATATACACGCGCGAACGCACGCCCAGCATCTCGGTAGTTATTATTACTCCGACAGTAATCCGCTTCGAATCCCAACCTAAACGATCGATTTGCTCCTGTTGCACTACTCTCCTTTTTCATTTCTTGCTCCATCTCGAATCGTCTTGGTAAGGTGTTCATTATATATGCATCCTGCGCGATCTTTTTGCGACACAATTTACTCTAATTCGATTTGCCTATCTATTTATACGAAACCCCTTTAAATAGTCTTTTCCATTTTGTCAGCGAACAGTCATCGATTATCTCCAGCAATGCGTATACATAACGAAAGCGTATTGTTCGCATAATCCCTTCGCCACGATTTATGATTCATTTGGTTGAAACGAATCGTATAAGAGCTCGCGATCTTTCTTGACGCACGTATCGCAGCCTGTCGTTGCATAAGTTTTTTCTATAAACACTTAATTTCTGAATAGATTTGTACATGTGAAAACGAGATAAAATCGTGTCCGTGAAACTATAAATCAGATTTTGATCTTAACGTATGTTTGTCAGATAGAATCTGTCACCATTAAATCTCACAGTCGGTTGAATGTTGCGGGTTTCGAACACTATCGTAATGATGTGTGACATGCCACCCCTACATGGAAAAGAACGGTTTTGTTCATTTATCTAAATAGGAGAACACAACTACTTTTCGTAATCGTTCGAAGATCGTTTGATTTATGTACATTTTCTTATGTATTTTTCTTCATTGAAAAATAAATAAAAGAAAATGAATTCTTTATTCGGCTGAAGCGGATTTTGGTGCTTAATAATTTTCTAACGTCGATAAAAGAAAATTGATTACAATTCAAGTTGCGACATTTTTTAAGAGAGTTACAAATCTTTTCAAGCATCCGTGTAATAAATGCACTATAAAATGGGCTTTAACCGGTGACCAGAGAACCATGGCGCGAACCCTCTCGTTGAGCTCTCGCGGTGACGCCTTATCAGTTCGTATCTTGTACAAACACGTTCCACCTGGTCTTGGACAGTCGCGACCCCACGCCATTTTCTACCGATGCTGCCCACGTTGTTTCGTAACGTTTCACAAGACCACTTTATCTCGTTTTACGCCCTCTCCCTCTCCTTCCATTCCCACCCTTTCCCACTGCTTCCCTGATGCTTCTGTACGTTGGTAACCGGGAGCCGATACTAGTGTAATTTCGTGAAGGCAATTTTTTATTCCATGCGTGAAAAAAAAAAAAAAAAAGAGTCGGTATGAGCCTCGCATTTCTGCCGTTATATTTTATGCCAGGCGATTTATCTCGCTACTATAATCCACGGGCGTATAAAATGTACTATTGCATCTTTCAAGAAACACCGATGTTGCGAACATGCGTGTTCTTTTTACGGGACCCGGACATCATGGGCGAATTGCGGAAACACGCAGGTATCGCTTTTTGGGCAGGAAAATAGTTACCGATTACAGTGTTTTCGACACGGACTGCTTTTGCCGCTCCAATTAAGATTTCAAATCAAGTAGGAAGAAAATGAGTGTATCCTCGACGGTGCGATATCCTCTTTTTATTTGGAAGATTATGATGATGGGTGTTCGTCGTACCGAACAACTGATTATAGTGTTTCTAGCTGATTAGCTCGCTCGATCTTTTCGATAGGTTGTTTCTCGCGCAAGATTCATCGAGCTTTCCAAATTCACGTTTAAGACGAACGCCAGAAACGAGATTTTGAATTTAGATTCACATGTTCACTTTTGATATACTTCAATATATACTTTACCGAACCGATTAGACTATAAGCACAGTTCAATTTCAAGTAGATTATAGGAACACCGAAAGGATAATTTTCCTGAAATATCTAAAAGTTTATAGATAGGTACAGATCCAAAAATAATTTTATGAGGCTATCAAAATGATTATGTATGACGCTTAAACGTAGATGACAATGCTGCAAAAAATTTTTATGTATTCCAAAAATACTTCTATATTCAACAATTCCTTCGCCATAACCATTCGTATAGATTGTTTTTTATCAACCGATCCATCCCCATGGTAACGTGATCGGGTTATTTTGTGGAATTTCTCGCGTAGAGCGATGTCCGTAATCCGGGCTTATGGCCCGCGAGATGCCTAGACATGCTTTAATGTGATTTAAACCCACCGTGTTGCTCGGGCTACCGTATTACGATCGTCGGACTTTTCTCTCTCCTCGCCGGCTCCTCTGTTGACCGACCATCTCCTCGCTGGACCAGTCCTTGAAGAGAGATCGCAACAATAGCAGGAAGAGGAAGAGAAAGATAAAAGGAGAGGGAAAACGAGGAGGGAGATACCTACACGCGTGCGTACACGCAAGAAAGTGGCGTAAAATACGCAGGCAAGGCACGAGTTTTTGCCGGCACTGGCCGGCCGATCGCCTTTGAATTTTAAGCGTTACCCGAAGACCGACCAGAGCTCGAACTCTATACAAGAGAATCCATTGGCGATTGAATATCAAAATTATTAATATTTTTCTATTGATAAAAAACTATAGAACGCATATATTGTTTTTCAAGATAAATACACCATATATTACATGTTTTCGATCATTTTCATGAGCAGAATGAAGTAATTAACCAATTTCAAAGGGAAAGTTAAATAAAACCGGCAATTATATTTATCTGCAGTTATAGTCTTTATTCAAAGTATATTAATTTTTAACTATAATAGTTAACATTTGTGTACTATTAATACACATAAACAATAATTTTAAACAGTTTGGCATTATCTCGCGTGGCGACGGATAATTCTAGACGGTAAGGATTTTGTTTTTTATTTTAAATTAGAATTTATATTAATAGTATATATATAAATATTAATTATTGTAAATTCAAAAATAAATAATTAGATTATATCTTTCGAATAAAGACTTATTTCATTAATAGATAATTGGAAGTTTTATTCAACTTTTTCCTTAGGTGTCTGCGCAATTTCTCTACTCTTCCTTATCAAATGGTACGTATAATTGCGAAATTGAAAAAAAGACATATACAAACGAAGTAGTGCTACGAACAGTTGTTTCAATCTATTTGATATTGCGTCGTGTGTATCTCGTTTGAAACGATTCGACGAGACGAGAGGAATATCCACAGTTGCGGGGGGATAGTCGGACATTGTGTACCTCCCGTTGCACATCTCGCCCTTTGCATCGGGATCTCTTTGAGGAAGCCGCCTCGGTGTAAGAGAGCCGAGAAGAGAGCGGGCAACGCACATACCAGGTACCTCACTGCGGGGCCCGGCAAAGTGACAAGGCCCCAGCAATTATAACGGATGGCGCAAAAAAATGGCGCCGCGGTACGGTTGGAGCCAACCGGCCAAGTCGGCTACCGTTTCTCTGCCCCTTTCGCCAAGAACCTTTAAGTGTGTATATCAAGGAACCCCGATGATTAATCGGTGGGTATCGTGGCAAATCTCGATCGTTCGCGTCGGTTTTAAGTCCCCCGAATTTATTCGACACTCGAGATGAAGCAACAATATATTATATATATATATATATATATGTATACTTATTTATTTATATACGCGTGTGTTAACAAACGCATAAACTAATGTTGTAGATTGTATTGCATCTGCCGCATAATATTTTGCACATAATAAAACATGCACTGTATTATACCTATATCAATTATTCAAATTTTAATTCATTTAGCTTTTGTAAACATACAGTTTTAAATGTAAACATGTTGAAACTCTTAACTCGAAACAAAGCGTACCAATTCAAATCGAGAGGCAGCAGAGAACATTTAATTCCTAATATTAACAGACTGGCATAGGAATGATCGAATACGATACATTGTACTGATATTTTTTAATGTAATTGACCCTGGAGAAGCAATTCTGATTTTTCTTTTAACAAGCAAGGACTCGTTTTGGGGCACAAGATAATAATCATTCCCGCCGGGCGGGATCGAGCTTTAAACGCGAGTATGATTAATTCTGATTCTTCTAGAGATTCCGCGCCATTGTAGTCGGGAATACACGGCTGCGATGTAATCGTAATGAAGAAACGTAGTTTTATTTGTGCTCTTATCATTAAATCACGAACGCGAATCAATTATGCGTGGTAAAAATATCCGAAATTCAAGCCTGTAATCAGCGCGAGCAGCACGGGGGTCGGTTGTAAAACCTCTAATTACAGAATTGCCATTTAACCGTCCATGCCGATCGACACGATCTTCGGCTTCCGTGGAATTTCGAAGATGCTATAAATAATCGGGGATAACCTTGCAACATGAGGGTAGTAATTTAATCCCGACATTGTGCGGTGCGTGATTAATTACTTGTAAATGAAGAATATCGTAAACAAGAATATTATAAACGCGGACTTTTGCTAATATTTTTATGTTTTATATATATATATATATATATTTTACAAAAATTACATGCTATATAATAAAAAAATATTAAAAGAGACGTAACTTTAATTAAATTGCAATAAAAATATAATAATATAACTAATACGAAGCCCATAACAGTCTAGCTGGATCTTATAGTTGCTTATGGTATATAATTTCGCGTGAATTTATACACTGATAGTCTTTCTAAACTGCGCGCCAAACAATGAATTGTCAGTCTTGGAACGCAACTCTCTACCGCAGTACTATCACGAATTAAATTGATTAACAATTTGATAATTAAAAATATAATATTTAATATATATACTATATATAGATATTATATTAACAATAAATCAATTATAGTATTGTAACGTACGGCGTCCCTTTCTTGAGTTACCGCGTTACACAGAGAGGAGCGTTAGGCGAGAATATGGGTGCTTTCCAGCAAGGACAGAATCAGACACTGTGTAACACAGAGAATCGTTTCATCCTCGTAGGCAAACAACAGGGATGCAATGATTCACTGTGTTACACAGTGTCTACTTGTGTCGTAGCTGGAAAGCAGCCTATAGCTCGATAGAACAACTTGTCGTGAGTGAGGAATAGGATTAGGCATACCTTGGCCGGAGGAGAAGGGAAAAGGAACACCATTCTTCTTCTAAATTTGGATGGCCCAGGTTCCGGTAAAGCTGGATTATCGTGGTCAGAACACCACGCATCAACTTATCTCCTTTATTCAGGGAGCACGGCTACACTAAACTACACTTACTTGTCGAGACGCGCCATAATCCAACTACTCTTAACTACGCGCGCCGAGCAGGCCAATCACAAGACCGGATCGAGCACGCCACCGCTGCTAACGCGGCATATTTGAACAGACTACGGATGGGCAAGTCGCTTTCTTACAGTATTTTTTAACGTACCTCAACGTAGCATATTTTTTATCAATCGGAGAAACGTTTATATATAGAATAATCGTTTATAGAAGAAATGTGTGATTCGGAAGATTCAAAATACCTATGTGAATCATAATGTAATACAAACAAAATTGAATGAAAAATTAAATAAGCAATTTTCTTCATTTTTCCTATTAATAATACTTCATTATAATAATATTGTACATACTTGCGTGCGTGCGTGCGCAGATAATTTTGCCCAAAAACGGAATGCGCCTACTAGCGTATATTCACTACTTAAATTCACGCGTCATTTCAAACCAACATCACTACGCAACGTTAAAAATAACATCCGTAGATAGATAATATGGCCAATCTTGCAGTCATTTTACATAGTAGTGCGAAGATAAAACGGTAGATGGCGCTTGGATGAGAATACATGGGATAAAATAAACCGCTCAAAGTGGAATTAAAGCATCCATGTCGTCTATGTTTTTAGATTAATATGCCATCTATCAAGCATGAGGCAAGTTACAGTATTTGATGATAGCTCAAGAATCCGTTAGATGGCTCTTAATGTTGTCTTTATGTTGTGCCACAGACTGTGCCTTCGAAAATGTTTACAAAAATGGAAGCAATTATTTAAATGGCATTTTGTAAGTTATTAGAAAATATTTATTGTGTTATATAACTATGAATATTAGAAACTTTGCGATCAGATAATCATATTTCACTGTTTGTAGAAAGAAATTGTCAAAGATTGGGAACCTAGTCTTATACTTCGCATGCTGGTAACAGCTGGTGAATATGCCCGATTATATCGATATGAAGATTGTGAAGCTGAAGTATGGACTTTGGCATATCAGTTAGCATCAGAAATGAAATGATTATACAATTATTTATAGTATGTTGAGCTATTTATAATAATTGAGAAAAAAAGTTCTACGAATGCTAATATGAATCCTGTTACAGTTACAAGTCGTTGTATATCATTACAAGTCAATTACGATTGGATTATTACTGCTAAGGAACATATCATAAAGCATAGAAATTCTACGAACGAAAATGTAATTGGCACCATTGCTATCTTTTGGATAAGTTTAGCAGACCTCTATTTTGAATATGAAAAGGTAAGAGGAATATAGGATCCTTCTTCAAATAAATTGCCAAAAATACAAACTTATAGATAATGTATAACACATTTTCTGTTTTTTTTATTTTTTAGTATGAAGTCTTTCAGGAATTTTATTTCTTGCTAATAGAACCGTGTATTTGTTAAGTTTAGATGTCATCATACGCAATATTTACATTGATAATATGCAACATGAGAATTATGATTCGTGTATTGTGGAAAGTATAGCTGCAATAAGGACTTTGAATCAAGATCTGTTGTCGAATAAATGTAATTATAATTAAATCATTTATATTTTTATTCTATATATATAATTCTAGATAAAGCTTTATCAAAACGTCAAATTGTATAAATATAAAATTATGAATGCTAATATGAATCAACTATTTATAAAGCAATCTTTTTTTCAGGGACTATGCTGCCAAACTATTAAAATCGCTGTGTTATATCGATCTGTCGCGTTTACAATTGGAGGATTGCGAGGTGAAGCTACAAGGCCTCGAACACATGTTGAACGTCGAAACGTTTCAATTATCGATAGAGGTTTCCACCAGATCCGTAGAAACATCGTTCGTTCATCTCGCAGTGACTCCCACGAAAATTGTAGATGCTGTCAGAGATGCGCCTCAGTATGGTGCTTCCCCAGTGCTCGGCATTAAAGTTTTTGATCCGCCAAAATTCACATCGCATATAAATTGCGATTGCTACAAGTGTAGCAACGTTTCGTATCAGTACTTGGTATTTGCTATCACTTATATCAGAGCGCAGTTATATGCCTTGCAGAATCATACCATGGCACTCGATCATTTCTACGGCGCTTTTCAATTAAGGCAAAGACTATTCAAAGAAGAAAAATCAGTTCTACCCGAAAAACTGGCCTCGTGATGAAATAATGCGATTCTCTTGGCAAACTCGTTTCTACATAATCGATTACATACTGCTATTGATCAATTTTTGTTATTTTCTGAAAGCGGAAGTAACATCAAGGCAAGAAGTATTCAATTTTGCCAATTTAGCGGTCAATATATGCGACAAATATAAATTGCAGTAGCATCCCGTCTACATAACGGTTAAGAACCTGGCATTTAACAATGGATTCCAACCGGTATTGGAATCTTCAGATTTAAGTATGTGCTTTTTGACATATAACTTTCTTTGTCAGAATAAATTTCAGGTGAAATTTTTCCACTTGTATGAGATATATACATACATGATAAAATCTTTGTTGCAGAGTTTACGGTTCCGCAGCCACACGAAATTGATACAACTGACCATGCAAAAATCCCAATTGATCCAAGCGTTTGTGTTACATCATCCGTTCAAAATCATTGTGTCAAGAAATCTCGTTCACTTCGACGTAGAAAAAGCCCAATAGCTTCAAAGATAACTAAAATTAACATGATTTGGAATAATGATGAAGATGATGATAGTGTATCTCCACCACCACCACCTGTGAAAACTATAAATGATATTACTGAGCTGGCGTCTTTAGTTTCAGATATGTCGAACATTTTATTCAACTTGATAGATAAGTCAGATTTACCTGCCACAAAGGAATATGTAGATAAATTGATAGAAAATCTCAAAATTAAATCGAAGATGACAATAAACGGTAAGACGAATAAAAATGTCAATTCGTCTACTTCGAGAAAACCTGAATAGGCTAATAAATTACAAGATCAGACAATTCCTCGACAAATTCGTAAACAGAATAAGTTTTTTAAGAGCAAAACATCGAAAGAATAGAAAAGGCAGACACACCATTAACGAATAAGCATAAAACTGTGCGAAATAAATGTTCCAAATTACCTGTAAATAATGAACACAGTACAAGAACGACAATATCAGAAGATCTCAAAAAGAAAAATCATTTGCTTCTTTTAAAATGACTTTTATATTTTTAAATAAAATCACTTTTAAAATCATTTTTAAATCATATCACTTTTTTTACTTCATCGATTGCATAATTGAAGTATTCGCGATTGTAATGAATTGGAAAGGGAAAAGAAATGTGACCTTTCGAGTAGAGAGAGAGAGAGAGAGAGGGAGAAAAGTTTGCACGTAGCAAGGACAATTACTAAGCTCGTCAAGAGAACAACTTTTTTTTATTAAATATATTCCTTCATAAATTATATAACGCGCGTAATTGTAACTATCGTTTAAAATTTACTTTTATTATCGTCGATGTATCAGAATCGATTCCAGCGCAAACGTGCATTTGACTAACATCGTATGCAATATGGCGGCTAACGATAATATAATCGCTTTCGCGCCTTTTCTCGCTGTTGACATTACGTAGATATCAACAAACGAACTCGAACGAACGAACTTTTTAATCGCATACAGATCGAGTAACCGACAACGGTGTGAATATCAAAGTGATATATAATGGAAGAACCAGTAGAAAAACGACCGAAGGAGTTAGCTTTCACGAAGGAATCAGCTCTCGCTGACATTGCTTCTTCTATCGGTAAGTTGGTCAGAATACGAACCTCTTTTGTGTGATTTCTTATAACAGTTCGAGGGAAAAGATGAAATCAAATAAAGTTAGAAAGTTCAGTTAGAAAATTTTGTAGGAATATTTCGTAATTGTTTATAATAATTCATATTTCGTATTGATATTGGTAACTTAACACTTTGCTATGATTTTATGTACATGTTTATCAAAATGTAAACCTCTCTCTTGTGTCATTTCTACAATAGTTTAAGATAGAAATGATAATATAGGAATAGAATAAAATAGTAGAAAACTTAAAAGAATTTCGTAGGAAATCTTTCATAAATAATTGATATTTTTCATTAATATTTTATGATATGATGTTATAATTTATATAATTGTGTTATATTTTAGGTAATATAGCCAATACACTCAACTCTATTAATAAAAGCTACAGCGACATTCTGAGTGTAAACACTACTGTTGTTAAATGTTTGGTCAATGCTGAGAAACGTGAAAAGGCAATAAATGTAAATAAAGAGGATATAAACTTGACAAAGGAAAAATAATTGAGTATAACAATTATATTTGTCTAATTATCATTAATATTAAGAATTTTATAATGTAATATGACTTAGACATAAATACTAATTCACAAATGTGATGTGATGTGATCGATATATGTTATAAATTTATTGTTATATGTTACATATGATAAAGGCAAATGACAAGCAGTTTGTTCATTATCATGGCTATAAATACAAAAAGAAATAACTATGACAATAAATAACATTGACAAGATCTTGTGTCGATCATTTTTTTTGTATTATATCACAATGTCTCTTGACCTTTATTTGACAGTCAACACATAATAGTTTAGCATGAAATACCTTGGAACTAGAAAAGTATGTCATTCTGCGATATTAGGAGGTAGAACTATAAATGTAATATTTCTTTCATTACTGAGTTATAAAAGAAATTGCTTATTACCATATACAAATGTGAGAAACAATAAAAATTGTAGAATTTGTAATATTTTGCATCATGATAAAATTGCGATCATAAAATTATAAAATTGAGAATATTCAACTTTTTTAGTTCTCAGGTGTAAAATTACCGAGGGCTCTCGTCTCTATATAATAAAGTAACTATAGATTTGTTTTAGCAGTCTTGTAATCCGTCGTGTGTTTGTCTGAATTCTTGTCACTTGTATTCGGGATCCTCCTTGTGTTTTCTTCTGGGATCTGACGAGTCTAAAGGAATTATCACTGGCCGTCTGTTTTCTGGTCGACGATTAGTGAAATTGTAATTCGTTGGTGCGAACCTGTTTACTGGTCTAGACCACATTATCGGTCCACATCTGGAACACATTTATGGTAACGTACCAATAATTATGGAGCATGTACTGTAATATTGTGCCAATTTGTGTAAACTGAAAGTGTAGAACACTATTCACACAATCGCTCAATCTAGGATTTTCATAAAGTTCTGCCAATTGTTATTTTTTTAACGATTTATTTAAAGCATTAATCGTTAGTAGAATACAGATACATTCCATCTCCAGAGTGTTACATTATTATAGATATTAGTTAAATGTATATACATCACATAAAGTATACATTGTTTTAATTTAACCTTACATTACTCGCGTGGTTTTTATAATTACTCATCTATGATGTTTCTAACATCTCAATTTTTATTCCTTTTTTAATGCTTTACAATTAGATAAGAATTAATATTTTATACACTCTTTAAGTAAAACTAATTGAAAAAAAATTTTACTCATTAAATATAGTGTTTGTTATGTATTATATATTTTTTGAGTAAGATTGTTCTTGAAGGGAACGTTCTGGAATGTAACCTTAATTGTGAAATAATTTGTGCTAATAATAACAATAACAAATTAATAAATATAATTTGTATAAATATCACAATTTAATGAGTTTATAAACCTGGAATGTTCTGGACATTCCTTGCGAGTAATGAAGAGTTATAATGACTAGGCGATGAGGAAACGTTTAAAGAGAAATAAGTTTTCATTTTGTTATCACCTAAAATGTTATCGAATCATGTTGCTCAGTGAAAGACATCAGCGTGAAGAAATCAAAAGTGCTTTTGCTCACGTGCAAACACCTATATATACGAAAAGGAAAGTGCGAATATGAGACACATACATAAGAATCGCATATAAAGCATAATTAGAAAAGAGTAAAACTTGCGAAAATTCGTATAGGAATGGAGTGCACGGTCGAAATAAATTCAGAATATTTAAGTGAACGAGAAATAAATCGGTGCGCAAATCGTGATTGAGTAATGACGTGCAATGAAAAAGAAGAGCGCCTTATTCCTTTAGCCCCCTATTTTGTTGGCTCACACCTGCACGTGTTGGGGTTGAAGTAGTATCCGGTGGTGCATGGCTCGATGGTCCTACACGTGCAAATGCAGAGGGTCGAGTTCCAGATCTTCGTGTCGTTGTTCTTATGACACTTTTCCTGCTCATCCCCGTTATTGCAGGCGCACTTGCAGTTGTGCGGCTCATAATGTTGCTTATCGTTGCAGTGCTGAAAGCAACAAGGAAAAAACGACGTGGCATGAATCATCGACGAAAAAGAGTGTCAATACTTATTATGCTCGTACAAACACGGTTAAATTTCGCTTGTCCTCCGCATTGACACACTTTGCGAACGTTCACGCACGTTGCAAGGAAGCGACAATTGTAGCAATCAGCGAAATTGGTATATTGAGAAACGACCTTAGTTTCTCGGACAATACAAAGTCCAAAATCAAGACGTACGACATTTTTTAGATGATTTTCGCGAAAATGACTTTAAGCTTTTTAAAAAAGATCATTAATTTCCAATTCCAGTTTTCACTTTATCAGATACTATACATCTAATGCATTTTTAATCCAGATTATTCCCAACAACAAGTTTAAAAACAGATATAAGACGTCTTATAAAATGTTCAAAAGACTCATAATGTCCTGCTTTTAAATTTTGTGTCCATTTAACTTCATAATTTGGATTAAAAATTTATCAAGTGTAATATTCTCTGCCAAGTGATTGGAGTTAGGAATGTATACTTCCTGAATAAACAAGAATCTCAGCATACAAGCTGACGATAACTAACGTTTGCTGGGATATTACATATGAAATAGTTCAATAAAGTCAAAATGTTTATATTTAACAGTATCATTTTATAATTTAAATGAAAATTTTCTCATTTTTTTTTGTCTTAGTTATTTTTTAAATACATTTCTGTTATTATTGAAATAATTTTCGATCCAGATTTTAAGTCGCCGTCAATCTTTTTGAATTATTTATAAATACAATATAAAAAAACGTACAATTTTAATTCATTTTGTTAAAGAGTACGTGTAATAAATCTTTAAATATTGTACTATGTAGTATGTATATTGAATATCACGCTAATGACTTTAATACTTACTAACACATTTTTTAGTAACACATCTTAGAATTTTTTTATATCTTTTGCATCTCTCTTTGCATTTGCGATTACATAATATCTCAATTGAAACGTCAACTTCGCAATATATTCGAGCGAGGATGGACGCATGAAAAGTGTGATTCACACCTTTGAAATGCCTATTACTTCTGTTTCTAATGTATTTTCGTGCATTGTTGAGATACTTGGAAGCGGATCTCATGTTCCTTTCAGCTGACCGGCTGACGCAAATCGTCGCCGAGTAGTGCGACACATATGTGCGTGCACATAGATCGCATGAGAAACAATGAACGACCACACAATGTGTGAGGTATGAAATTCGTAAATAACGTGTCCTGGTTAAGCAAAAAGACATTAATTAACCGCCAATTATCGGTTATCGTCAAATTACCTCTTCTTTGATTTTGCAATCGCACTTGCATTTAGTGTGTTCCTCCACCGGCACAATTTGTCGTCCTCCGTAGTTCATATCGGTCAACGACGTCACGATCACCTTAAGACGACGTGAAAGAACCGTGTTTAATTATTGCTTTCTCTCGAGTTGCTTATAATAATATGCGCGTTTTTGTTCGTGCTCTTTAACTCGATAACGATCGATTACCTCGAAGTTCCGCATCTCCGTAGCTGTTGGCTGACACGAGAGCAGAGGACTAATGCAACAACCACCGCATCTTTTAATCCGTGTGCAGAGTGGGAAAACGAACGTCGAAGGATCGTCGTCCAGTTTTAGAGAAACGAGTTGCAGCTCGGGCATGCACTTGGCTGGTGTCGGCATCAATGCGTTTGATCGTTCCTCGCCTCCGAATCTATCTGGAAAGAATCCCTGTTTGTATTTTAAATGTAATCAAAGAAACTTTCCTTTTTACTCTGCCGAAAATATAACATCTATCCCACTCCAGTTTACGTAATATAAAATATGTTTCGTAGTACGTAGAAAATTTAACGAGCTGTTGGTTGTATTAATTTCCAAGTAGATGATATTAATTATCAAATGTCTCGTAAATATACCTTCAAGAACAATTTTGCTGAAGTATCTAAAGACGTACCTAGTTAGATACAAAAATCTGAAAATCATTTTATTGGACTATTAAAATAATTTATATAAGACACTTACGTAATCTATGATATATTCTTTGCTTTTACTGCTTTTTACTGCTCTTGCCTTTTTGTTTCTTATCTTGTTTTCTCATTTTCTGTCATTCGAGATAAAGTTGACGAATTTTGAAAGAAACAAGAAACCTAATTGTCGATTAAACGGCAAAAGAGAAAAAAAAGTAAAAGATGAGAAACAGGAAATAAAGAACACGTTGTAAATTAGATTTCAAGCATGAACAATGTTGCGAAAATTTTGACATTGTAACGATTGATCTTCAACATCTTACATAATTATTTTGGTGCAAAAAATAATTTTCAGAAAAATTGTTCTCTTTCCATATTTTGTATTTATTATCACGAGAGTCCGAATGGAATAATGTAACAATTATAACATTTAATTTATCAGTTGTAAGTTTGTTATTAAACAGTAGTAATTTGTTAAGAAATAAGTAAAATATATACGCACATATTTATTATTAAATTTATATTAGATTATTTCTAGGTAGTAATTACTTTTTTTTTTAGATAAAATTATTTTTTTATAGCGGAAAATGGTCAACGAACATGCTGAAGCAATTTCAATTGCAAACCGTTATTTCATGTTGGTCGATAAAATGGTTCCCGGTTTTAAGGATCATCTCGCAAAGCATGTAGTACTCGAATGGTTTGGGAAGGTAATTAAGGGAAGAAGAAAAGTAACTGTATTTATGCTGTCCAATCAAATGGAATCTTTTCATACATTTTCTGACATTACGCCAATTTCCGGTATCCCTCACGAAAGCGAACAGTTGAATCGGTGAGAGCATTGAAATTAATGATAAAAGTTACGCGTATTACACTCACAATTGCATTCATCAGTTATATAAGTCGATGAAATTCACGTCTTTTTCAAAAAATTAGTTTATTCGTGTTATCATTAAATACGTGTACGATAAATGCATTTGAGGAAATGTAATACTTATTAGATGATCTAACGCACATATATTTTTTGCGTTAGAAAGATAAAACGGTCCTTAGATCAGTACGATAACTGCAAAACCTACACAAACGATTATTTACCAGCTCATTCTTCACATGAGACTGAAATGTCAACGACCCACGTAAAAGATTGTGATGACCAGGAAAGCAATGCGAACGATACAACTTTTCTACATGAAGCAGCTTCTGACAAATGCAAATTTCAGGAAAAATGTATAGGAAAATTGAAAACTTTAACAGATCGTGAGAATGCGAATGCAAATATCAACGTGCATAAAAACAAATTTAGTGCAAATGCAATCACCGAGATGGATGACCAGCATTATAATTTTAACGAGAATGATCTCTGTAATCTTTTCGAGCCTGAGATTACGTCTCAGCCTGTTGTCGAGAAGATACAGAACATTAATAGGATAAAATTGAAAGAGGAAATGGCACCAACCGTCAGAGCTATCAACAGAGAGTGTGAGCAAGGAGATGGACCTGTTACTGTTGAAGCTAACACGACTAAGTACCTGGAAGCAAATGGAGAAATAAAATTTATACGAACGAATATACAAACAGGTAGAAATCAATTTAATTAAAAATAATTATTAAATGGATAATATTTTACTATTGCTTGGACATCTCCAGATTTATAAAATATTATAAATATTAAGCTTTATATAATGAGAAATAAATTACATATAAATAAAAGAATTACAGAAATATATAATTTGTAATATATTTTAATATATTAACAACAATAAATGTCAGACATGTTGAATTAAATTTTTTAGATTCTCTATTTTTGTATCATTGGTCAAAACTCTATCAAAAGAAAATCTGGATACGAAAATGCAAGCTGCAGATTATATATTCGCTTCTAAATGATGTCGATTCGTCGAAGGTTACTAGAAAATGCCATAATACACAGAAGAATGATTGTGTTGCTTGCAAATCAGAACTTTCGACTAAGGTATGTCACGATGCAAATAAAACACAAGAAAGTAAATTGCCAAGTTTTGAAGAGGCGATTGAAGCTAGTAATACATTAATACGGGACGTAAATCATTTCGGTGGTTACCTACATCCCTTAAACTTCTTAGAAGATCGTGAAAATTTTTTAAAATATTTCGAGACCGAAATAGTGAAAAAGAATTCCAATACGCATTTTTGTTTGCGTTACGTCAACAATAAATTGACTTCTGAGTGTATAAATATAAAACCATTTAATGTTATGTTCCAAATTCACAAAATCATTTATTCGAAGGTCAAAGTAAATCATACATCTAACACACCATAAACAACATAATAAAATTATCGCACAAGCTTATGGTCAAATGACGATTGCATGATATATAGATGATACCGTTAGATGAATCAATTGATTCACCTACCAACATTATCTAACCAAGCCAATTGACCGGATACGCAAATTTTTATCTGTAACAACGGAAAGGCTGTTTCCTGCGTTAATCGGAAAATCATTTACAAGGTTGAAAAATATATTTAAGCAATATTTTTTTTTAATTGCATAATAATCCACACGCACTGGAAGTATCAAAATATGTACATATGATTTACGTTATAAGATGATCTCAGTTTACAATGATAATTACGCGTTTGTATAAACGAAATAATCAAGAGATCTACCGCGCCGCGATTTAATTTATGTTTCTACTTAGGTGATAAAATACTGATCTTATCGCGATGTCTTTGTATCTTTATGAACTATTAATTTCCCTGCGATAGTTATTATATGCATTTAATTGTAGCTGTATTTAAAGAATAATATTTTCAAATGTTTGTTTTGTGACGTATTTTTTGATTTTTGATAATTATGGTAATATGATTTTTTTTTATCCTTGATGTTTCTATTTAATAAATTGGAATTTGCAATGAATAAACTTGATGTGCTCCTTTTTATCTATGATGGAGTTTCCTTAAGATTATTTGCCATTGCATTATTTATATTTGCACTTACGTTAGTAAGAAAGATAACGCAATGACGAATTATACTTACTGGCAAACGTGATACCCTTTTCGTTCTCTGGAACATCGTGAAGAAGCTGCATAAACTGCTCCAACGAATCTATCGAATTTAATCTATTCGCTAAATCAAGCGATATCTAAAAAAAAATAAATTATTACATATATTGGTAGAAAATAACCTAATCTAAATCCGATTAGATTATCTTCTAAACACAGAATGGATCATAAGTTGCGACTAATCATATGATTAAATAGAAAAATCCGAGTTTGAAAATAAAAGTTGTTTCAAAATACTTTATTAGTGTGCGATTGACAGGTTTCTTGTATTTTATTTCGTATACTGTGTTTCGGAAAATTTAATGTTCAAAAGTTTTAGATAATGTACATATATGATAATATATGTGCTTGCTAATGCAGGAAAGGATAACTTTGTGAAGTATCTTAAAAATTTAACTATAGATATAGATTTAAAGATAATTTTGTCGGTCTGAAAAAGTAATTGTGTAAAATGCTCAAGTGTGTTAAACCGTTTTTTCCATGTAGTTGCTTTATTATTATATAATTCGCGGTCAACAATTTTTCTGTGTTAGCTATATTGGAAAACTTATTAATGTGCGTAAGCCAAGATAAATATAAGTTAAAATTTTCTTAAGAAGTCATTTCGATTCGAATGTGCAAGATCAGAAAGAAACGATATAAATCTTAATGGATCACACATGCTAGATTGATTACGCGGTTATTTCTTTCCTAGATATAATCTTATAAATATTGACTAAAAGAATAAAAATAAAATTAAATTTCTCGGGGTATTCCCGCAGATTGTGAGTCATCCTGTTCGATTGCAGATACTCGAGATATGCAAGTGTGACTAAGAGCAAATGATCGTGCTAAAACAAATGTCGGTCAATGATCCATGTTACATAAAAATTTCAATTTTAGGAGAAAAATAGATATTTGCTTCCTTCGATCAAGCCTGTTTTCACTCGATTGTATTTAGACTAAAACAATCAAATTTTAATGTATCTTTTCTGTTTCGTAATCAATAATGATTTTGATTTGTTGTAATCTAAAGCACGTTTTATATAAAATGTGTTAGTTTATACGTATAGCTTAATTTTGAAAAATTTTTTTAATTGTTCTCATCGCTAAAGAGTTATTAATGACACGAATGTGTGGAAGAGAAATTGATATCAGATCGATAAGTAGGTATCTGTAGCTAAAAGTATATAGAGTACATACATATATCAGTTTTAGGACATTGCATAGCTATTCTATTAGTCATTGATAACCTGCTTTGAATGGATGCTCACCTCTAGCTTCGGTATCGCGATTCAAACAGGTTTTTAAACCGATCGAATCGCTACTATTACTGTCAAAAAGAAACAAATACCTTATATACAAAAACGAGCACTTCAAGATTTAAGCATTAATATCTATCATATTAACTAGCAGCAAATATTTTACACATTTATTAAATTGTATATACATTCCAAGTTTAGTTCATTCAAAAGAATAATTTTTGATTAACCGAAATTTAAATTTCTGAATAAAAACAAAATCGATTCACAAAATTAGTTGAAGAATGTACTTATGTACTCCGGAATTTGAACGCAAATATCATGAAATACGTTCACATTTTACGATCGTATTCACACCTCACTTTCATCGACAAATGCGTGCATATTTAGCATAGTTTACATTTTCCATACATTATAATAGAATCTCAGAAAAAAATACACACATGTAGATAAAAAAAAGATATAAACAGACCTAATTGTTTATGAAAAACAAGTGCTCTCTTCGTGCAATAAATATAATGTCTCCGGAATGTTGTTACTTTGATTTCAAAGCAAATATTTCGTGAGATGAGCGTAGACGGCAGCCTCATGAAATTTCGGAAACAGGTTGGGCGCGTTTTACGATTTGCATTATCGAGAAATATTCTGCGTCCCGCAGACACACTGTGTACTTCCTGGAAATGACAATCTTCAGCGCAAGAAATTGCAACATTCCGAACCCGTTTTGGTCTCGACTTTCGAACACGTTTCGCGTGCTTGAGATATCTGTGCGCATTCATAATCTCGTATAGCACTCCTGCGTGAAACAAACGACTTTGCGATAACGACCGCAAATGGTCGCGGTTGTTTCCTTAACAAAAGATGCCTCGACTCGTCGGAATAACCCTGGTTTCGACCTTGTCAGGAAGCAAGGCTGTGCGTTCAGTTTAACGCTTAGGCGCCGTTATATTTTATTATAATCGTAGCCTCGATTTCGCTACTGACGTGACGATATTGTAATTATCGTGTAAAACCTAATAGCTACGAGCGATGTAACCATTTTTTCTAAGTCAACAGCTAGTTTACGCAATTGCACGTGGATTTTTATTATTCCATGTTATATTTTTTGCGCTTAGAGACAGAGAGGGGAGAGACAGGAGGAGAAGAAAAATATCTGTTCTTTTTCGAAGAATTTTCTGCATCAACTGGTGTACACTGATGTAATAACTTGAAATGAAACAAATATAGGACTACTACCAATATAGCTAACGAACCCCTCGAATGAGACTATTATTATGTGCATTTTTTTAATCACAATTTCATAGTAACGTGTGCATTGAAAAAAAATAGCGGCAAAACTTCCAAGGTTAATCGATCCGGTATTTGCACAATTGCAAGATGACGTACGATACGTTTTACATCGTGCCGAGAATCACAAACCGTGTCGTATGCTGTGATTATTTCGCCGATATCCTCGACATTCAGCCTTCGAGACATGGTTTCGAACTCTCTGAAAAGTGAGTCTTGGAAACGAAAATGTTGCAACACGTGTCATTGATTTACGCGCATCTCTTTTGAAGATAAAATATAAAGAGAATTAGAAAGATTATAATAAGACATCATCTCTGTCAAGAAAATTAGCAAAACAGTAGATATACCATATATAATATCCCGCTAATAAATATATTGTACAAGTAATGTCAAACTCTGAAAGAAAGATTTTATTACAAAAAATTAATTTAATACAGATTTAAAAATTATTTTGTCGGACTATCAAAATCTTACGTCAGAAATTTAAGCATAATGCTGTAAAAAATTTTACATTTTAACAATCAATGTTATTATTTTGACGGTCTGACAGAATAATTTTCAAATCTATACACTGAGAAATATATTTGATTAAATCAAGGAAAGGGTCAAGAGGAACGACATTTTAAAGTGATCAAACAGAATATCTAATTGTTATAACTAGAAGTTCGAAATGCTATTCTTGTTGAGCCTTCTTCTTGGATTACTCAGGACATTTTCCTCTGTGTGGATATAGATCTAAAACTAATTTTGTTAGATCAACAAAATAATTATGTAAGACACTCGAGCTGTGCAATGGTCGTTAGACTGTTAAAACTCTGCTAGAAATAACTGCTCTTGTTCAATCCTTTTGTTGATTTAATCAAAATATTTAGCAAAAGTTTTAGATACTTTAAGCATGAAACCGTTCTTTTCGTATAGAAATCAACGTTTGCTTTTTGATCTTTTGGGCGCAGGTCATTCCGGAAAGGGGGGGAAAAAAAAAACAAACTGCTATTATTCAAATGAATTTAAATTTCAAAGCAGCAACACCGCGGACTTAATTCGGAGGCAGGGCAGGATCAATCTGTATCAATTTACCGGCGTATCACTGTCATCTGTCGAACCCCCCGCGGGCTCATTATCGAAGGCCCTGTCCCTCGATCTCGAGCCGACTGGTCCGGGGAAGACTATGTGATCGGGATCGTCGTGATACTGCGCGTCGATTTGTCCCAGGAGGAATCCGCCGCAGACGATCGCGAGAACGAGCATTCTCGCGATGAAATGCGGCGGCGACTGGCTGTCAAATGAAGCGCCGATCCGCGATTGCATTTCTCTCCTCACTGCAGGTACACGGAGTCGTTACGTCGTCTTTAATTATTATTAACGATCGATTCTCTCAGCCTGCGGATTTTTTACTTGGACACGCGCGACAGCACACCTGAGAGCGTATCCGAGCGCCCGCACCGCGATCGACTGATGAGACGAACATGTCCCGCGCGCTTATTTCTTGCATAGGCGAGCGAGCGCGCTCACTCGCGCTCGCGAGCGCTGCGTGTCGTGTCGCATGAATCGCCGAGATAAGCGATATGACTTTTCACAGGATCGATCGGCATGTTTATTTTCCTCAAATGCATTTCCGACGTGAAAAGCACGATGATTACAACGTAAATATTCTACTTGCAGCGATCTGATAGAATTTATTGACACAAATTCTTTTCCAATAATCAAGTCGAATGTCTAAATAAAAATAATAATAAGTTTCTTTTTTCAGAAATACAGGAGCACTGTGAATGTTACATTACCGTACATATTTTGCTTTCATTCTTATTAAAGCTGTAAGTATTATTAGTACATTTTTTATTTGAAAAAAAGCGATATCGAGATATATCATGATATATAATTTTGTCATACTTTTATTTGTGTGTATCGATAACGCTTTATTTAATAAATAAAACGATAAGAATTGCGGAAGATATCACACCCTACTATTCATGAGAAAGCTGCACAGCTGTAATTTGCCGTTACATCAACTACAATTGAAAATAATTCAGTGGTGAGCAAATAATGCTTTCCGAGTGGTTCTCGGTGAACAATGTGGGCGTTTGTAATTTACATATGAAATCAACTTATTCTAAAATTAATTTTCATATCGTTACATCTCAAGGTAACAATCGACGGGAAATCTATATCTATAATCGTCTAATGATGCAGATAAACCAGTCGTTTATGTAAAGAATATAGAAAGAACGAAAACATAAAATGATTTATAAAAGTAAACGTAGTACCGTAATGGAAAATAATAGATATTTCATCAACATCGATGAGCACATAAATTAATCGAATTTGTTATAGATTGATAAAGCTCTGATGGCATATCCAATTCTTTTTACCTTTTTGCATAAAATGTCGAATAGTGCATATAGTGCATTGCAAAATTTCGTCTACACATTTAGGTGCAACTACCTCAACCTTATTTTATTGAAATAAAACATTTAACCCCTTGGAAAATACGTTTACCACTATTATCATAGTATAGCAGAGCTATCTGTACGATAATTTAAGATTTTGAATGTAGGTAATACACTATTAAGAATATATCTCTCGCGTGTAGATGGCGCTAATTAATCCAATATTGTCACAGGTGAATTAAATGTTGATATTGAGGGAGCACCCTTTTACCGACTCCCGTCCGTCTTAGTTCCACTTAAAGCCTCCTGAGGCGCTGTCGCGATGCGACGCTCCCGCTGGCACGTCACTGCACAGTGATTGGCCGCTTGACTTATTTGAAAGAAGAAAGAGCGTCTTTGTGTGAGAACCGTCCTCGCTGGTCCTCGCGGACTATATCAATACCACTTATAGTAACTTTATATTAATTTATTCATACATAATTGTGTCTACACAATATACTGAACAGTATAATGGAACCTATACGAATACTACACTGACAACATCTTCACAATCATGTAAGTCAATTTGTCATATTTAACAAAAAATTTTTTATTAAAAATATACTTGAACTCTTTTCGTTTTCTTTTCTTTTTCTAATTATTTTAGCAAACTTAACAATTTGATGAACATAAGATTTGAACATTACCATCATGGTATTTTGTATTTCGAATCGAAAGTAAAAACGCGGATACGATTTATTATACAAGTCTTGTTACATCGCCCATCTTGGATGGACGCGTCTTTGTCGGGTGCTTATTGTTTCAGTTGAATTTTTGAAACAAAAGTTCTGGTTGTGTGAAGACTAGATTTATTATTCATATCGAATAAATTTTATATAAAAAACACACTGCTATAATTTGTGTCGGCTCATATTGGCTTTTTATTAATTTTTTTTAGATTTATTTATGAGCCTATTGATTATCTTGTTTTTTATAATTATTTTTATTTTTCAAAACTCTTATATCAATATATTGGAGATATTTTTTGTAATTAATTTAAAGTTAACATATAATTATTTATTTTTAATGAGAGAGAGAAATTGAAAAAAGATTACTTATTATAGTTATAATTTTTTTTTTAGTAATATTTTATCAAATTGAGTAAATATATTTACTAATTTTCCTACATTACCAACAACCAAGTTCGAGATATTTTATTATTATCTAGCACTGAATTTTCAATGATCGATATTCTGCTAATATTATGAAATAACTACACAAGGTAAATTAGGAGAAAACTTTATAAATAAAAGGAATATAATAATGATAATAAGAATATTATATTATATAGTATATGTAAATCATGACAATTTTTTATTTTTCACATTTCACATCTTTCTTGGACAATCTAGTTTTTCTTTAAATTGATAGTGTATATTATTTTGTTAATAATCATTTAATATTTGATAATTTGTAATATTAAAATTAGAAAGGACCGCCTATAATTATATCATTTAAAAGCCCATTACGGTCAAAGTTAAATGTTGGAATAACACACACACATCTATCTTTATTTTAAATTGTTTCAAATATGTGACTGCGCACCGATTACTTTCAAAATAGCAGTACAATCAAACTGAAATAATATTATATATATTCTTTCTAAATTAAAGATTAGATCTTCTATTTGATGCTGCTCTTAAAATCTTAAAAAACTTATTGATAATTTGTAATATTGCTTGGCCAAAAATATTAACCATCTAATTAACTACTATTTAAAGTTTTTTAACTTAAAAATTGATTTATATAATTTGCTGTAAAAGTTATCCTTTATTTCAAGAACCCTTTAAACGTGTGTATGATGAGGGTAACATTGCATTTCAAAAAAATCCATGCTAATAAGTGAAGAAAATATTTGTGTGTCTAATATTTTTTATCCATCACACAAAGCTGTATTTAATACACTATTATATTATAGAATGTTTCTATGATTGTGTTGATTATATCTTGTTTACTTATTCTTTTAATGGACATATACTTAAATACGAGGAAAAAAAGTGATTCATAAAAACAAATTACTTTTTCTCTCTCTCTCTCTCTTTGACGTTATTATTTAACAGAATTAGTTAAATGATATACGTAATACAATTATCATGTGATATACACGATACAATAATCAAATGGTATATTTACGTTGTGCACAGTTATATAAGTTTATTGAATTCCTGATGGGCGAAGATTGCCAAATTTTGTTAAATTGATTTCTTCTTCAATGTATATTACTGATAAGTGATTAGAAATCAAAAGATATGTGATGATATTACAATACGAGAGAAAAAAGTATTATGTATAGTTTTCATTGCTACTTTGGCCCCTCGAAAGGAAAGAATATCCTGCGACATTGTTTGTTTCATTCTGTAATCAAGAAAAATATATATTTGGATACTACAATCAATTTACTTCAAAATTTATGCAATACAGTAATTGCAAAATATTTTTCATATTTTTATATTGTATTATACATGTATATGTATATACAAAGTAGAATGTGCTTCAAAGTAAAAATTACGAAAAGAAGAAAAATGTATTTATCCAGAAATATATTTACCTCTTGTTAAGAAGTTACTAAAACCTTTCTGCATCCTCCGTTACGAACGGGCTTATAACCCGGCGGACATTTCGGCTGTACCCGGTTTCTCGTAGGGAAAGTCAATGGCCATCCCTCGCACGCAAATACTAACATTATCGTCGTGAGAATCAGTAGAATTAAACGGGCGGGTGCCATTATTATAGAAATATATAGACTATATTCGATGTCCTGATCACTTTCTTGAATTTCAAATTAAAAAGACAAAATTAAACGGATTAGCTTCAAGTTTCTCTCCTTCTTCTTACGTACGTGTTTGCAACATCAATATGCTAATAACTGGCTGCTACAACGATAGCGCATGTATTTATATACAACTTAAGCTCATCAATGCGGTTTTCCGTCTCCGTTTCGTCATAGTTAATTAGTGGTCAAAATCATATCCTGATTGCTTACGCAAAAGCGTTTACTTGTAACTTCCGCGCGATAATAAATTATTGATAATGATTGTATACGCTATTCACATTCTGGGTTTTTATGCGCACATTACCAATAAATCGTGTTTTATGACTCAGCAGAAAGGTAGAAGATAGAAAAAACTAATGCAAATTTGTTTAAAATGCTTTATTCATTTTACTTATTTTATGATATATATATATAGTATATGTATAATAGTTTTACATGTCATGTATACATGAATATTTTAATTGTTTATGTTATATGTATTTTATTTATGGAAGAGGAATTATGTAAATAATTACATCCATTAGATACATATACTTCATTAATAATCTTCTATATATGAATATATGTTCAGAAAGAAATATAATCGATTTAATTTTATTTTACGAATACTCTATTTATTTCTTAATTTAAGTATACAAAAATTTAATACTCTATAATATATTCTATAGCCTATTTCTTTGCGTAGGTATAAATACACTTGATAAAATAATTTAGTTTGTAGTCTGTATCTTGCATTTCGAATGAAATTCATGATTGCCAATTCGATTCGATGAACTATAGATCTTACATCATTAACTTATTAAATACATCAAATTTTCTCTAATTCTCATAGACCTATATAAATACGTCTATTACGTATTTATTCCCAACGATTAAAATAATATTCTTATTTTTAATCCTGTTAATCCTCCTGTTTCCGAAGGATGTTTTCTTTCAGGAGTGGTCCAACTTTATAAGGAATCTGGAACATAAAAACCAAGATCTTATTTAATTTGATTTATTTTATGTAGAGTTTTACAAATGAGTTTTACACATCTCTCTATGGTGGAAGTAAGAACTATGCGGTGTATGCGGAAATAGAATGACCGCTATAAATAAAGATCTGAGCAATTTATTGCATATTTAAGTTTGACGTGAGTATGAAAGGGATCGATACGAGGTGACGATTGTGTGCGCATTTGATAGACGAGTAGGCTGGAATAGTTGATGAGTTGT